CTGGGCTGCGGAACGTCTGCTGGAGTCTCTTCAGCCCTGAAGCAAACACCTATTAAGAAGAGATCATTTTTTCCCACACCTCTGCTGCTGAGAATATTTCCTCCCAGGAAGCTTCTGTGACTAACACAAAAAAGCCAGTAACTGGTAGAAGTGATAAGAGAGTCGCGCATGGCGGCTCATCACCGTCACACGAATGTCACGGCAGCAGCAGTGATTGATAACCGCTTCTGCTAAGAGCAGCCCCAAACCCAGATCATTACAGCGAGGCCAGGACTCGCCGCCACGCCCTTTGCTTCCCCGCCTGGCCAGCACGGCCCTCCCGGCCGTTCCTCGGTGACCTGCCCGTTCTCCTCTCGCCCCTCGTTTTCATGTCCCACTTTCTCCTCCGTTGGTCCCTCCTCTGTCCCTCTCTCCATCCTGCCTTGACCAGTGAGTCGACTGAGTCCTTCCTCAGTCTCACAAAGATGGTCAGCCGAACACCCACATCCCTCTAAAAATCTGTATTTCTTCTAAATTTTCTGAGACCACGATTTATTTTCTCGGTAGAAAAAAAAATTTAAAAGCTCTCCACTGTTTCCTAGGAGATACATTGCCAAATATTTTCATAAGCCCATGGCGATGACTGTTTATTTTCTTTTTCAAAGCAGTGGAAATAGCTGCAGAGGAACCACCCCCATGACGTGAGTGGGATGACTTGAAAATGTGAACTGGGCAAATGACCTATTTTTGCTTATCACTACTATTAGCCATATTATATAGATGGTCTTATTTAAGACCTAAACACAAATGGAAAAACATAAAGCACTTTACGCATTTTTGGAGGGGACACTTTGAAGATTGTGAAATGAATTTAGTCATTACTTTCACTGACCTTGAGCACAACTTCCCTAGCAACAGCCCGCACACTCATCTTCTCCGGAGCCCTGAACTGTCTTTCGTGAGCGTCAGGAAGCGATGCCACAGGCCGTCACGGGCCCAGCTCCCCTCAGTGGTTTCCATAAGGTAACGTCTTTAACGCCAAGAAATCTCCCGTCCCCACTGGAGAGGTGCAGGTCGCGGAGTCCCGTAGTCTGCTGGCGTAGACTCCTCTGGTGTGAAGACCCCCCCCCTGAGAACTGACCGGGTGCACGAGCACGGTTTCCACACCCCGTGGTCTCATCCCTCACACCCGCCCGTCAGCAGCCCCGGCCCCTTATCCCTCAAAGTTCCCTTAGAAGCCCCAGCCCTACACCCTCCAGGGAGAAGCTCTGAGGTTCCCTCCCACCATGTTTGCTGTGTTGGCCTGTCACCGCCTGTCACCGCGCAGCACACGCGGACCTGGCGAGCCTGTAGCACCACTGTGATGGCCAAACGGGAATCCACACGCAGTGCTCAGCGCCATCCGGGCACATGATGAGCGCGCAACAGAAAATGGCAACTACAACATCCCCCCACAGGGAATCAAAGACATCCGACGGTCACTGGTGACAGGAGTGGCCGCAGTGGTCCCCTGCCACAGTCTCTTCCCCTGTGTCCATCTCATCAGGAGAGAGCGCACACTCCTGGGCGTGCTGGGAGGCGGTGTCCCCCACCGAAGCCCCAGGGAACCAGGAGTTCCTCCCCCTCCACCCCACCTCACCGGGCTAGGGCCGGACACAGCACTGGGCCAGTCGAAGGCTGCGGGCTTTGCACTCGGAACACCCGGGCCTGCTGGAGCGAGCCAGACACCTGCTGCGGCGGCCCCAGAGGAGAAGTGCTGCCTAATTGTCTGCTACGAAACCTCCTCAGTTCCTGCCTGTTTTTCACCCCTGATTTTTCATCCTGTGTCTTTCCAAGAAATTCCACGTCCGTTTCAGTTAGGGACAGATTCTGTCGCTTGCAACTAAGAACCTGACCACTAATAAGCTGCCATGCGGGCAACTGACCGCACTGTGGGGGCTGTTGCCCCCACTTGTGAAACTGGCCTCCTGGGGGTCGAATTTCTCAAATCCATGAGACAATCAAAGGATGGGCCTTGGATGTGTTTGTGCGCAACACACTCTCGGACTGAAGGTGTGCGAGAGCCGGGGAGAGGGAGGAGGATGTAATTCGTTGACCCGTCAATGAAAGGTTCTCAG